TCTCTCTCTCTCTCTCTCTCTATATATATATATATAATCATTTTCTAATTGTCAGAAGAGTGCTTTGTAAGAGAGGGTACTGCTTGATCCTATTTGAGATACTAGTTTAGAGGGTTAACAGATAAACAGAATACAAACGGGGAAAAAATGCTATAATATTTCTTAATACCTCCAAACTACCAAGTATTTCCTTCTAAAATTAACAAAATAGGTGAATCCAAATATGACTATTTCTCTTTTAGACATAATTGTTCTTATCTGTAATAGCCTTATTAATCACCTAAGTAAGATGTCCAGCATAGATTCTCAAGGAAGGAAGGAAGCAATACATTTTGCAATCTACAACAGACAGACAGACAAGCTAACAAACCTTTGCTTTTTTTTTTTTTTTTTTTTGTTTGGTCTAACAGCTGTGGAGAGTTAGATGTGGGAGATATTTGATTTCCAGTATCAATTTTGAAAATTAACACTCAGCTCACTAAAGTGATCTCTTTATTCAAATCTGGCAGAGTTTAGTACATTTTCAGTGCTAGCTTTGTACACACTTACACTTTTTTGTGCTGTGTTTTTCTCTGCATTCAGAATTTTAAATGTAATGCACAGCGTTGATGCAGCTGTGTTTCCAATAAAACAGTTCCAAGGACCTTGGGCCTGGAATCTATGTTGTCCTAATATATGAGCAGGCAACCTGCAGCCCATGGATGTATACTATCTCTGAACTTCTATTTAGGCTCCCAGAAAAATTACTTTGCCTGTAAATTACACAGATGTAGATAATGGGGAAGATTCCCATTCCAAGAGGTTCAGGGTTTGAAAGGATTAAAAGAAAATCTGATCTGTCAGTCCAGATAAATAGGCAAAGACATTCCAAACTCATAAAAATCAAGCACTAAAGAGCCAATCGAAAAGAGGGAGGGGCAGCTCCAGGTCTCTTTTTATGTATTTCCTTTCATGGGAGGAGAGGGAGTATTTCTTCCCAGATTGGCTCAAAGGGAAGCAGTGCCCCAATCCACAGGACAGGTTAGAGACCCAAGGAAAACTCTAGCACATTATAGAGCAGTGGGGCTAGATGCAGATGAGAATTTTGGTTCTGTTTTGTAGAAAAGTATTTGAGCTGGAGTAGTGCTCTGGTTCTACTTTGTTCTGTGTGGGTGCATTCATGTCCCTGGCTGAAGGAGCAGTGGCCGAGATAATCCATTTAGAAGGCATTGTTATTTTCTCTTTCTCTCCCTTTCTCCTTTTGTTTTTTCAGTTCTTTAACCTTCATATACACCATAAAGACTTGAATTTTAACTGAATCAATGACCCTCATTCTGAAAGGGTTTTAACCTTAGCACATACATCTCCCCATACAGTTAGGCTACAAAAAGGAAGAACACCAGAAGAAGACCACTGCCACCTTGTCACTTCACCTACTCCTAAGTAATTTAGCACTGGAGAGGATTTCTCTGGGAAAAAAGTAGCTGGTGGCAGTGTTTATCAAGGATCCTTTCCTTAGGAGTAGTAGCGATTAAGGGGGGAGATCCTAGAAACCCATGTCAAGAGAGTCAAAGGGACCAACCCACCACATCTTAGGTCTCCTTGCTTTTGCAGGCACACATGAAATGTAATTTTGGTTTACAACCATTCTGAGTTGGAAAACAAGCCGTAACTATAGTGTAAGCCTACCACAGACACCTAAACAAAACAGAATATGACAGAGATAGCTAAAAGAACCTGATAAAAATATCACTTGGGTTCATGATGGCAGTCTACTGAAATGGCTGAAGGATTCCTTTAATAATTTTTGAGAAATTGCATCTTTTAAAATATGGCAGCAGGCCACTTCATGTCAATTGCAACATAATGTGTTGAATTAAATGAGCTGAATTAGAATTTCATAAATAACGCTAATTCGCCAAATTCAAAATAGGTCTGATCTTAGGTAGGTAATAACATCTGGAAGCTGATCGCTAGACCTCAAGCTCTGAAAAACATATTAATCTAATCATGTCACTTATCATAAAAATGAGTCAGAATTAAACATCCTGTCTAACTCTAGTGAAGCATTCCAAAACTACACAGAGAGAGAGTGAGAGAGAGAGAGAGAGAGAGAGGTGTAATAGCCTGGTTATACATAAAATAAAGCTATATTGGCTGGGTTTATACTTTATGCTAAGTTAAAAATAAACAGATGCAAAAAAATTAAAAAGTGCTACATGAAACAATCCTAGCAGAGCCTACCAGGTATAAATACTAATCTCAGATAGAGATGTTGTATAAATACGGAACAGATATTGACCTTCAAGGCCAGAACAATGATGGTTAAGAAACTGTTTAATCAAAAAATATGGGATAAAATATGGGATAACATAAAATTTGAATATTAGGACTGTCTGTCTCT